CCTGCTGAAAAAGACAATAAATTTCTTTGACAAAGCCCTTCTGTGAAAACATGCTGACTAACATAATCTGAAAATAAAGAATTAGATATGAAAATACAATTAGAATATTATATTAACCATTCTGTTACATCTACTTGGGGATATCTAGCCGTCACCTCAAGCTCAACGTAATTAAAACAGAACTCGGGGCTGATTTGAGGCTAATTGGTTTATTCCCTAGGTTTATCTCCTTTTGCCCTTCTTAAGCTTAGGAACAACATCTGCAGTCTTTCAGTACTTGAGAATTTCTGCAGTTTTCCAAGAACTCTTTAATATTAACACGAATGATTCAGGTAGTTCCTCAGTGTAAGTTATGTGGGTTAGCTGATATGATATGCTTAATTTTAGCAGGTTCTCTCATCTTTCTTTTCCACAGATGGTAAACTATCTATTCTAGTAATACCATATAGGATAGCTTTAAACATCCTTGTTTTAAATATAAATAAGCATTAAACACGTCTACCATCTACTTTAAACAACATTTGTATATATGACCTATGCTTTTTCTTGTTTTGAATACTTATAAACACAGACATTAATTATACTGGCTAATATTATTTCATTGAGTCTTGTTTTATCCTCTGGCAATTGCCTATATGTTTTAACTACTAACCTACGCATATCACCATTTGCATTTTTAGCTTCTCATCCTTAAATATCTCTTTCTTCTTTCACAACTTTTAATCAGCATTAGCTTCTTACTCAAAATAACCTTCTTCGGTGTTTGTGGAATTTTGGCTTTTTGAGCACTCAGACTGGTGCATTATTATTTCTAAAAACTCATCAAACAAGGGGTCAAGACAAATAGCCCCTGGACTGAAGTCACCTATGAGAAACGGAATATTTGTGTATCCTTAGCAGAATACTTAGCGTGTTCTGAGCCAGGACTGGAGGTTGAGTGAAAATGAAAAAGCAGAAGCAGTCTATAGCTAAGAAACTGAAAAGTTCATCAATTTTGAAGTAAAACAAAAGACTGGGAGATATGAATTATATGTGGAGGACAGTCAAGTAGGAAGACAATATGAAGGAGTGATGGAACTACAGCGGGGTTGGCAGATGGGCAAATTGTACCAGGCTTTTTTTTTTAATTTTGCAAGGAGAACACTTGCAAAGGCTTTTTTTAGGCAGTCAGACTGTTCTCCTACCTGCTAGTGCTCCACCTCTCTGGTGGAAGAGGACAGTACAGCGCTGTCACTTGAAGGATCAGGGTTAAAAAGCTAAACAGGTTACACTATGGGATGCTATTTCCACGAGGTCTCCCTCATTCAGCTAGGAAGCTTGGTCACAAACATGAGATGAGTTTAGTCCAAGCCTGACGGTTTGTTCTTTTGGCATATCCTTAGCAGCTTTAGCACTAAAGTAATCATGGATGTGTTTTTGTATGAGTATCTGAATAGAAAAAAACCCTTTTATGACTTAAATTACTACTCCTATTGCTTGGGTGTTAGGAGACCATTTACTTTAATGCAGACTTATAAGTGCAACAACTCATTGAGGCAACTCATATTAGGAAGACCAGTGATAACACAGAGACAATAACAATTTCACCGCATTCCCCCACAAAACTGTAATAGACCTTTGGCTTTACAGATTATTTAATTCTCAAATGTTGCACCTATAACAGGATTTGTAAAATATCAGATCAGATTCTGATTACAAATTTATAGGAATGCTAGAAAAAGTAAAAAGGAAAAAAATCCTATACAGGGAAAAATAAAACGATTTTTCATTCAACCTCCAATCCCAGTTCAGTTACCAGAAACATGTAAGTATACGCAGGCTGAAGAGACCGAGTTACCAGAATGCTGACAAAGTGATTACGGCTAGATCTTCAAGTCTAATGCCTAATCTGAAGCTGACAAGTATCTCTAGAGTGTGTACAAGAAAAAACAAGAGGGAATTTAGGAGGTTAAAAAGAGGTATCAGATAGGAATAATGGAATTACATTAAGAAAGAGAAGTCGAATAGGAAGACAAATTTTCATATGATAAGAATACATCAGCATTAGCCTGGAAGAGCCTCCCAGGGGAAACGGTTGCAGCTCCACAGGCTGGCTCATTAAAAGCTAAAAAACAACCCTGCATTGCAAAGAGACAGACTAGGTGAGCTAATAGGTCTTTTTTCTCTTCTAGCTCTTATGACTGCAAGATCATCTCATTTACATAATGACTATTCATATCTGTAAATAAGGATGACCAAAGATTATTTTTCCACTTTTTAAAGTAGTAAAGTAAAATGCTGGAGGCTTTTGGTTGAAAGCTCCCCAATTAATTCTGTTATAACCCCAATGGTTCCCAAGTGTCATATACGAATAATAAGAATAATGAATATACATGTCTGATGTTAGCTTCCTCCTTACACCAGGTTCTCCTAATCTGCTCTACTCGTGAACAATTCACATGTGATCTTGATTATTAGACAAACAGCATTCCATACACAAATTAAAACAGGCATACAAACAATGGGTTTTCCAGACAATCCTGCATGATTTCAAATGGTTAAATTATCAAGAACTTACAACTGCTTTTTTAAAAATGTCCTTATCTTTACAAGCTCCTCTTTTTCACACTCTTGTTTCTACAGTTGTTTCTGAAATGCTCCAAAAGAGAAGGTATTTAATTAAATGCAAACAACTGAAGTGATCTGCAATGAGGTGCTTAGAATAACTAATCAGAAATATCCCCTTGTCAAGGATGATATGCTTTATTTGTTTGTTTGCACTTTTCTGTGTACTGTACTTCAAAAAGGAGTGCCCATCAGCACAGCGAATGGCTTGTCTGGTCTTCTGAACCCTGGTCCTGGGGGAGCCTGTCAGAAAGAAACGGAGATTGCTCCCATTCTGACAACAGTTGAGCATATTCACCTGGGAGCAACTCTACAAATTCAGAATAAAGAGACAGCAATCAGGAAATTGACAGTAAGTGCAGAGAAGGGGAGATTCCTTGGAAAATCCAGTAAAAGACATATAGCCAGACTCAAAGAAACTTTTCCAAAGAGCACAAGGACTCACATGGAGGTTGTAGTGACGCAGGAAGCCACTAGAAGTTGATGAAGTGAGAATCTGCTTAAAAGGACCTGTTCTTCAAGAACTTAACAGGCAAGGGAAAGAATATCTTTTATTTGCAGATTTCCTTTATTTCTGTTTCACCTTCTCTAACTGCCTGTATTTAAAGAAATAATTGGTCTAGTTTATCTTCAAACAAAATCTTGCATTAGAGTTCAAAAGCTTCCTTAGTACATTGGACATGCTTTAAAGACAGGCATCTAAGGAAAAGTGAGCAGGCAGAGCCACCTCAAGGTTCTAGATGACTTAAGGGTCTCGAAAGGAAGAGGGGAAAAGAATCTAATATTCTTTCCCTTTCGTTCCTCTTTTGACCAGTAACATTAAAGCTGTGGAGAGTCACAGTTAATTAAACCGTAACTAAGAGATGTGCATTTCAACACAGTTTGCCACACGGCTGATGAAGACTGCCTTCTCAGATGTCACTTCCTCATTCACATTCATACAATTTTCTCTCTCCTTTACAGGATAAAAGAACTTAGATACTACTTGACTTTTAAGAGTCTAGTGGTGCCTTCATGACCGAAGGCAGACAACATGGCACTTAATATCAGATCACACGAAAACAAGATATGAAACACCTGATGATCTACTGCAAGCTGGGGTAGGCAAATGTCAGTAGTGGCACTGTGAAATCCTGCAACAGAGGAAGACTATGACATCTTCTAGAAGAAAATTTCTTCAAATTGAGGAGGACTGCTTTTACTTACAAATGCCAAAGGTAAATGCTAGAGAGTAGGCTGACAGTAATATCAGATAAGATGGTCATGAATAGAAACGTTATTCATGAAGTGCTAAAAAGTGCCTTCCAAAAGTACTTTTTGGCCAAATTTGACATATTCCTCAAGAGTTTCCAAATAAAGTCTTTCTCACTCTACAGTAAATGTCACATTCATCTCTTATTACCAGAAACTTTCCTCTTTTCCCTCATAATAGAATGAAAAGCGATTTTTGACTAAACCTTTGGTTATCCTAGTGACTACTCCGCGTTAAGAAACAAGTTTATTTTAGGACTTAAAGCAATTATAGTAATAAAACCCCTTCGTTTATGTTACTCATCTTATTTTCAGGAGTAAATACAGGAAACTTCCAAAGAATACTGCACATAAAACTTGATCATATATTATATACATATATTATATACAGTTTTGAAATTCTAAGTGTCTCAGATAAAACAATAAAGGGGATTAACACAATTTATAACATTTATAGTCATTCTTCTATTAGATTATTAGGGAAGATTTCTGTCAAAAATGTAAGGATGGAGGCTTAACACGCAGGATGTTTGGTTCAGTGGACTGAGATATGGATGGTGCTCACAACACCATCAGTCCAGTTTCAGCACTGACAAATCCATATTACAATTTAGGCCCTAATTTTTTATTGTTGCAACTTAGGGGAAAAAAAACCAAACAGTTCGTATTTCCAGTCCCAAATGACTGGCATTTCCAAAACCAGCTACCCAAACTATTTCTGAAGGAGGGAGCATAAGTCTCAGTCATTAACAACTAAGTTTTTGGGACAGCTGCATGCAGCTGAGTAAGGGAAAGGACCCTCTCTCACTTGCCCTTCAACATACTACACTGTTCTCTCAGTGTCTTGCCTGGCATAAGCAAGAAAGCAAGGGAACTATGTTTTCTATTAGTCTATGTATTTTAGTCGGTAGAGTTACCACACAGAGGAGAGAAGGATGCTGTATCCTAAAAGGCAAAAAAAAGAGTTAATGATTTATTAATGAGTTCCTCATTTGTATCAAAGACAGAGTCAAAATGTGCTAGTTTAAATCACAGGTTCTAGATAAGGACAGTAAAATAAGTTCCTTAAACATTACAAAATGCTGTTACATGGAGAAGCTGTTACCTTGGTGCAGATTATCTTCATACTGTGCAGTCTATCTAGTGATTCCTGAGGATTACCTAGATACTGAGGAAGTTCAGCATGTAAAATCCGCATGGAGAAAGGAACCATGGAACCTGGAATCATAAACAACTTTTAAGTGTGTTTGCTATAACCATCAGTGCACAATTTGCCTTCTCACTTGTGTATGTGACACAAAATCCAATTTAATTTCAAATTCTCATTTTCTTCTTGTGATGAAAGATGTAAAAGATGAGAAAGTAGCAAACCTTTCCATACTTATAGCATGTAGCATTGTGTAAAGTTATTTTAAATACGTAAACACATGGATACCACACATAACCAAGACAGCAAGAAAAAGGTGCACCTAATTCCATACTCCAAAAACAAGGTGTACACAAAGGTACAATATGCATTAAAGATTTTTATAAATCAATTACAGTAAAGGATAAAAATGGAGGATTACTCAAGTTTCAGCTACAATAATCCTGACATTTAATAATTATGCATATCTTACAATCAATACAGCAAAATTAAGATGGAATTGTAGGCCTTAAAGGCATGCCTGCTAAAAAAGGTAAATAACCTAGGCAAGCAAAAACCAATTATATGTAATTTTTTCCAAATAAGCAGAAGGCTGCTATGAAGAACTTCTACATTACATCTTAGAGAAAGAAAAAGAAGACATGAATCAACATGAATCAAAAGAAATTAAGAATAAAATCAGTATAATAAAGAACAGAAAAGTATACTCTAACAGATTCATTAAATCTAAAAAAAAAAAAGCAACTCCCCCAAGAAATTAGGATATACTGTAAATACTCTATTGTTTCTTTTGATATTAATATGCTCCAGCCTGTGGAAAGATCAGAATCCATTATGCTTAGCAGAGACCATTCCCTTGCTAAGTGTTTACAGTAGAAAACTTTTACTCTGCATTTTACTTCACTAATGTTGGCTCTTCCACGAAGAGTTATCAAATGACTCTGCCGTGAGATCTGTTCTGCATGAAGGTAGTATATTTTGTGTACTTTTCTAATTTATTGAAAACAAATAATAAGGAAAGAATTTTAAGCAATATTTGTAGGAGAAAAAATGGTCTATTCCTTTTCAGATTAGTTTACTTATTATTATTGCCATCATTGTCATTATTTTTACCAAGGATCCAATCCTGTAAGTTTGCAAGCACTGACTTTACAGACAGTTTCAGAAGCTTTAGGAACTCCTACAGCGTGCAATATCTTACTTTCAGATATCTGCGCATCCGGTTTACAAGGACAATTACACTGAACATGACCATAAACTGAACACTACTATTAAAAAACAGAACAGGCATAATGGGGAAAGAAGCCTTGCAAAATAGTCTACAGTTCTAAAAATGCATTTAACATAATGCATTTGCTTAGTTTGGACATATTCTAAAGGGATTTCCCTCTTGACTCACCTCTTGGCTCACCTCTTTTCACAAACAGGTTTTTACAGGTTCACAAGGTTTTTACAGTTTTTTGCACCTGTTCTTAAGAGGTTTGTATGTCAAAGAGGTAAATGCTATACGCAGTGAGGCACTGCCTCTAAACATTTTAAAGGAGATAAAGTTGTAATCACAAAATCAACTTACTAATTACGATCTTCAGAGTAAGCCAACTGCATTTACATAAGTTCTCTTTTGCCAAAGCTAAGTATTCCTAATGGCTTCTGTGACTGCTGTGTTCTCTTTAAGAAAGCATACACAAGTTTCATGCATCATCATATGTACAATAAGACAACAAAACTGCCTTTAAAATTCTTTTTACAGGGGTTATTAAAAAGGTCATTCAACCAATAAAAAGAGATGTTAAATGTTTTATTTATTTATCCTGATTAGTATCTAGCATGATACAAGAAAAGATACATAAGTGTACGGATGGCAGAAAAAAAAGAAAAAGAAGGCAAAACCAAGTAAATTCTGAGCCAGAACACCATGGAATAATTGTTTTGTAGAGGTATGCTAAGACACGAACCACGCACCTACAGGAAGCACAAGTTAAAAAAAAATAGTCTTGTTCATCTAGTAAAGCTTTGGAAAATCTGACATATAAAATGTAAAGAATCTAAAGTTTTAAAAATATTTTTGGTTAATGACAGTGTTCTAGCATTTTCAGCTCTGAACAAGGTTGTATCATTACATTCTCTTGTAAAAAGTGACAAAAGGTCAACCCAATAAACACTCCTACAGGAAACCTGAAGTGGAACCAGCACAGTTCAGCATACAGGTAGATAGATATTTAACGGCGCTCAGATAAGTGTCACACGTTATCAATTTTTATAAAATTTATATAACATTTTGTGAAACGCTTTTTGGGATTGCATATTTTGTAAAGTATTGATCTTATAGATTGCTGAATAGAGCCATGCTATTATGATCCATGCAGTGGGAAGTAATAACCCATTACCCATCACTAATCTACATCATCAAAACTGGTGTCATAGTATGTTAGAATGATGAATGGATCTCTAGTCCAACTTACACTTTATAAGAATCTGATTTATTCCCTATCACAACTAAGACCTTGGCTGTGATAAGCATTCAGAACTGCACTGCTTCAAAACATACTTTATTAATGTATTATTTTCTTACCCACCAATGATCTAGTATTTCATTCAGAGCATGTGACCAGAACGCACTCCAGTGTGATCCTTAGCAGGACTGTTAGTATGATGGTATAGGTCTCACCAAACAAAATCACAAGGAAGCTGGCCCTCAGGGAAAGGATGGTCAACATAATGACTTTTCAAACTAAAACTTATATTACTATTTCACTTGGGAGGATCTAAAACACCAGCAACTGTCTCTTCTTTCGCTCTTCTGGAAATTCACAACACAACTAGTATCCTGTAAGCAATTTTACTTTAAGCTTAGAACAAATCCCAGCAGTAAAAATTTGTCACTTACTGCCTATTAAACAGCCTGCAGACTTTTACTTTATATATCTGACACACTGACTGTTTCTGCCATCTTCCTTAGCTTCCTTCTACTCCTCCTGAAAAGCAGAAGGTAATGTTTTTTCTGGAAGAAGGCACAAAATTATGTGTGCTCTCACAAAACAGTGGTAACAGTGGAAAATAAAAGAGTGAGAAAAGAAACTAGCTTTTACCCTTGGTAAGGCTGCCTTACCACTCCATGCAAACAGTATTTGGTAACTTCAGGTTGAATCAGATGAGAAAATTGCTCATAACGAAACCTGTAGCACTCATCCAAGCCACTTATCCACACATGTTCCTTAAATATTCTGTTTATAAAAAGGAAACTGATATTTTTTTGAGAAGCAAAACTTCCCCACATATGTTCCCATCTCCAAATAAGCTTTTTTTGTTTAGTTAAATGACATGAAGTGTAGCTAATATATCTAATTCAGCTCCTATATTTACAGACCGATATTCTGGTTAACAAGAATGACCATAAATTTACTTTAGACTTGGTAAATCTCTCAAGATTTATGAGTGGTACTTATATAAAGTGCCAATGCAATCTACATACATTTTTCTTGAAAAATATATGGCATTAATACGAAATGCCTGTGAAGAGACCTACTCATCAAAAGAACTTTATGACTCCTGGTTAATAGTTGTGTAAAAAATGAAAAAAAGAGAGAATGAATATATTCTACTACTATATTATTTCTGGCGTCCAAAACGTGTTTCTACAGTTTTCTCAAGACTAAGAAAGCAGAATAATCATCTTTGAACTCGTCTGAGAGAATAATGTCAAGGAAGAGCTTGAAGACATGAGAGAAGCAACAGCAAGTTACTAAAAATCTTTTCAGAAGGTGGATGGTTATGAACCCTTGTTATCAAAAGACTCAGCAAGGTGACCTGTGCGTGTACCATCGTGGGAGGGAAGACTGGGAGTATAATGGGTTTGAAAAGCAGCTCAGCCGAGTTGCATGGGGAGAACAGAAGATGAAAAAGGCAAAGGCAAACTGTAATATGACTCTCATGAATCTTCCGCGAAGCCTCATCAGTTCACTGATAAAATGTAAAATGCAATCAAGTAGGAGAATGGCAGGAAGCGTTGACTTTGAACACTTAAGCAAGTTAACAGAGCTCAGTAAGAATTCTGGTCTAAACAGCACGACTTAGGTTTATTGCTCTATGACACTACCCTATCATGTTGCATCAAAGGCATGTCTTTCAGCTTTTCCCTGCTGAGACTAAGAAAGCTAGTGCAGAAGGGCCCATTCTCATTAAAAAAAAAAAAAAAGAAAAAAAAGAAAAGAGAGAGAGAGAGAGAGAGAGAGAGAACACATAAAAATCTAAAAAAACACAGCTTTACTGTCTCATGAGGCAGATGAGATTTCAGATTAAAATAAACATATTTTCTAACACTTTAAAATGAGGATGATGACAAAGAAAAAAAGAATTGAGACTTAATAAAGTGCCTGTCACAAATCTTGCTTAAAAAGAGAAGCATAACTGAAAATATTAAAAGCCTATGTAAGAAGCTGAACCAAAAAAAAAGGAAAATAAACACCACTTAGACACGTTAAACACAGAGTATGTTTAAAGGCGATCATCAACAATCCTATGCTTAACTACATTGCTACATATACTATATATAATCAAATATCTGACAAAAAATTGTATACAAAGTAAAAAATATCCACTATTAAAAATATATTTTCAACAATTATTAAAACAAGATGAAATAAAAAACATTTTCATATACTTTAGTAATCATAGCTATGCATGAGATACTCCCCAGTTGCTTAACAGTTTTATTCCTCCTGTACAATTTTAATGCAATAATTAAGAATTTTCAAATGGCACATTGAGACCACAGAAAAAGTAGATTTATTTGCAACTACAGGCAAAACACAAGGCAAAATAGAATTTTTTTTTCTTTCTTAAAGACAAACAGTCTAACACACTACAAAATTCAGACATGGATAGCAAGGATGATACAACACTGCTCTTCCCAATACCTAAAAATGCTAACAAATAAATCAATGCCAAGGGATAAAATGCAAACTAAACTACAAAAAACACTCTTGTGTTTCTCCTGAAAAGGGAAAAGCCTTAGATTTCATTCTGCCCATTAAGTGTGACAGCACACTAATATAATTCTAATTCTACACAG